TCAATAACCTTTTTATCATTTCTTTTAAAAGAAAAATGTAAATGGAGTGCAATTGGAAAAAAATGGAGTGTGAATATGTCTCTCTTTATTATATGTGTAACAAATGAAAGAAGGAAGATTATATATGATATAGCAGTAAAGGAAAATGTTAAGTTGTAAAGGTTAATTTGGTCCTAAAATGTGAAGTTTTAAAGTTCAATGAAAATAGAAAAGATGCATTAATTATATATTTTATGATTGATTTTTCAACCAATCAGAAAGATGCATTAATTATATATTTTATGATTGATTTTTCAACAGAGGCACGACAACTATCCTTCTACAATAGCATGCGCGAGTGTAGAGAAATTATTAAACAGTATACTTGGTGGACTAGTTAAATACAGACTATAGAACTGATAAAATGGCCCCACAAGAGTGTATTAATAAATTACAAAGTTTTATGATCGGAGAGTTTTTATTGAATTAGTCCACTAGATGTCAAATAGACCTGGACCATCTATTAATTTCTTGCGAGTGCAACTAGCAATCCTCTTGTGTGTGTGTCTATTAATTTCTTGCGAGTGCAACTAGCAATCCTCTTGTGTTAATTTCTTGCGAGTGCAACTAGCAATCCTCTTGTGTGTGTGTGTGTGTGTGTGTGTGCAACTAGCAATCCTCTTGTGTGTGTGTGTGTGTGTGTGTGCGCAACTAGCAATCCTCTTGTGTGTGTGTGTGTGTGTGCAACTAGCAATCCTCTTGTGTGTGTGTGTGTGTGTGTGTGTCGATCTATCTAATCGATAGTGATGGGTATTTTTATTTTTATTTTTTTATTGTTGTACAGAAACTTTGTTTTTGTACTTCCATCATTATTTGTTTTGTAACCTTGTATCGATTGTGTCTTAAAGATGATGCATCAAGTTATCCTTTTATGAATGATCTGCTTAGGGGTGTTTAAGAAATCAGGTAAATCAAAAAATTGGACCGAACTGTACTGAATTGGGCGATTTAGATTAGTTGTATAGCGGTTTAGTCCGGTCCTGGGCCCAAAATTATGGAACCGTAATTTTTCGGTTTGGTACTGATTTAGGGTCGTGTTGGACCGGACCAGCCCGGATCGAACCGTTACTATGTTATATAATATATATATATATATATATATATATATGTATATATGTATATTATATCCTAAACCTAAATCAAGTAAAGTTCTCACGTGCCTCCTTTCTTTCTTTCTTTTGTTCTTTAAATTCCTTAAATTTCTTTTTAAAAAATTCAAATTTCCCTTTTTAAATATATCTCAATTTTCTTTTCTTTATTTCCTCTATATATATATATATATATATATATATATATATATTTTTTTTTTTTTTTGCATGTTATATCAATGTTAGTTGAAAAACTTTACCCCCTCTAAATTAAAATAAAATAAAAAGAAAATCAACTGAAATTGACAAACCGAATCGAACCAAACCGATTTTTCGCAGTTTGGTTTGGTTTGGTTTCATGGACATTATGGCTCGGCTTGGTTTCAAAAATAGTGAAACCATTATAAATGATTTGGTCCCAAAATATTCCCAATTCGGTCCAAATCGGACCATGTGCACCCCTAGATCGGCTTATAACTCGCAAGACCAAAGGCATAAACGTTAACTGTGTCAAATCCCTTTACTCCTACATCATTTGTTTCAATATATAAAATGATAGTTTGTAAGAAATAGATAATATTTACCCACTCATGTGTAGGGATGGCAATGGGGCGGGGTGGGGCGGGGATCTCATTCCCCATCCCCATTTCCGGTCAAATTTTTTACCCCCATCCCCGCCCCCATACCCGTTTAAATTTCAACCCCCTCCTTGGTCCCCGCCCCGCCCCACCCCACCCCACCCTATTAGCCCCCGTCTCCGCCCTACCCTGCCCCGCATAACTTTTTTAAAATTCCAATTCACCTTCAACAAAATCAACACAAGTATAATATTTTTCAACCTAATAATTTAATAAAATTTCAGCACAATTATAACAATTTAAAACGAATCATTTCAACCCGATCAAATTTATAGCAAAACCACATATAACATTTTTTGGAATAGTTTGTAAATTTTCAACATGATCAATCAAAACAAATAACATTCTTCCAACGATGACTATGCTGCGAGGGAATAGATTTAGGGTTTTAAAAATGAATATATTATATATATAGTTATGTACTTTAGTAATATTTTATAACATATAAGGGCAATTTTGTAAAAATGCACTATAAATGGGGTGGGGAGGGACGGGGTTATCCTCCCTCGACTCTGCCCCGTCCTCTGCCGGGGTTTCAAATACAATCCCCATCCCCTCCCCATTTACATAAATGGGTCCCCAAACCCACCATAACAGGGGCGGGGACCCGCCGGGTATGAGAATTTTGCCATCCCTGCTCATGTAGTAGGGTGGGTCGTTACAAATGGTATCAGAGTCTATCTCAGTTTGAAGTGTGGCCAATTAGAATGTTAGGCTTCAAAGGGGGGTGATTGTGGTGACTTTGTGGGCGCAGGTGTGCTGTGGGCGGGTACGAGGAAATTGCAGGGTTCACACTGGGCAAGTTACGGGTGCACAATCCCACATCGCCTGTAACTCCAATTAGTATGAGAACTTTTGGAATAAAACCCAAGAACAAAACGGTGCTAGCTCGAACTCAAAACGAACAATATCATACTAAAATGGGTACAGTACCTCTTGATTTAGGCAAGTATTATATGTATGAAATTCATAGTAACAAAGTACCGAAGTAGAGGTAAGTATTATTCCTATGGATTTCATAGTAAGAAAGTTTGTATGAGTACCAGATAGCAAAACATATCAAGACCAAAGGCTGAAACTGTCCTCACTCACCGGACTGTGTCAGCCTCTGGCTCTGGGTTTACAATTTTGTTATCTCTGCTTGTTTAGGCTAAAGTTTTGCAAGTTTCAATGGGCTTACGGGCCATTTTGTATCTTTTGACCCATCATGGGATGTACAGCTTTATTCATATATGTATGTATATATATATATATATATATATATATATATATATATAAACTTGAACTTACCATTCAAAAAAAAAAAAATAACAGTCGACTGGGTTCAAATGTGAGACAGCACAAAATGAGTGCCCTGGCTGGCACTTCTTTTTCCCCTTAACATTCCTTGTTTTGGCATCTTTTAGAGGATATCAATACCAATATAAGCACCGAAACACAAACATGAGAGCTCAATGCTCACAAGGCAAAGTGCAACTGAATTAAACAACCAACATGAGTTATTCTTGAAACAAAGTAAGTTCATCCAAGTGACAAACAATCAAAAGCTTGAAGACATGTGATTCCATGCCATAATCAAAGGATTCAAAACCAACTAACCAACACTACCGACTACCAACATAACTAAAAGAAAAACATCGAGTCTTAAAAGGAAAAATAAGGGAAGAACAACCAAAAGCTTTGTACTGAAATATCGTGACTCCAAGCCATAATCCACAAGAACCTGCATCAGTCAATAAGCAAAATTCTATCAGATGTTACCAATATATATATATATATATATATATATATATATAACTTCTAAGTAAATTAGTGGGTGAAGATTTTTGTGTACACGCAATTTGTGTGCCTGCTAATGTGAGAGATTTAAATAAGACACGTACATGTTCACACAAGATTTACAAAAATGCCACATACCGAGAAAGACTTTTAATGCAGAATTACTCCATAGACATCAAGGGTAGAAAAATGTTTACCAAAACGTTTTCCCATTGATTTTAAGGAACCATTTTGAATAGTTTGCACACATTTAAGATCTTAAAATGATATGAAAATAGTCATCTAATAATTTTCAATCTTGAAGTATTAATAAGTGAAAACAATAATATATATATATATACACAACCGAAATTTTTTATAAATCATTTACTTGGAAAAACGTGGCACACAAATCCAAAAGATACATCAAGCTAACCTATAGTAAGGCATTGTACATCTTTTGATAAACTGAAAAACAAAATGTAATGAGATGTAAATTGAAGCAGTACTGGAGAATATTGAGAGAGTTAAACACAGTCTTAACAGTTGATCATTGCTATCCAATCCATGTTCCTATCATTATGTATCAAATATATGGCAAAGTAGCTACTGTTGTAAGGAAATTGTGGTAGATATAAAGCAGCCTAGAGATGTAGTTGTGAGATGACAAAGCAGAAGTTACAGGATTAGTTCGATTATATAGGGGAATAGAAGGAAGAAGAGATTTCAGAAACCTCCCATTTTTCACGGTGCTGTTTGATTAAAATACATAACAAAAGATGATACATGCGGTGTTCAGTATAAAATATATTACTATGAAAACAAAAGTGAGGTGAGTTGGAGTAATTCAGAGAAAAATACAACATATCAGGCTCAACAAAAAAAGTAAATAAATGTGGACCAAGGTGGGCATTCCATTCCTTTGTCTCTCTATATGTCCTCTGTTTTTATTTCAATTAAACTTATACTCTATGACCAAACTGATAAAATTTATGAACCTTCTTTTCTTTCTTTGCATTTACTAGCTAATATTTTAAAAACAAAAGATTGATATATTAAAAAAGTAAATCCAAATCATCAGTGCCAGACCATCAAAAATATAAATGATAGGATCCGCTCAGTATTGTCAAACTTGCTATAATAAAAATTAAATGGAACCTGGAGGAAGATGCTCACCAGTAAAGGAAATAGAAGCAATCCATTCCTCATATATACATATATTTGCCACTTACAAATTCATAATTATATGAACATCAAATTTCGACTGAAGAGAATTTTAAACAAAATTAGCAGAAAATAAGAAAAAAAGAAGAAGAAGGAACCCTAATTGCCAATTGCATAAAATTTAGCTGGGGAAAAGATAGACATTAAAAACAAAAATTGTATGTGTGAGTATATATAAAACAAAATTCTATGCGGTGCCGGAATGAGAAGAAACTTACCTGAGACAAGGAAGGTTATCACTTATACTGTGCAACTACAACTTGTTGGGGGCAACCCAAATAGGGTCAAATGCTGCAACTCCTGGTAGTTCGCCACTCTTCAAAGTGAAAGGATGATAAGGTGTGGAGCTGTCATCTTTCAAGTGAAAGATTCCATAATTGAGACGTGTATAGTTGTCTTCATGATTTGTGAAGTAAATGGAATTCTCCCTTATATCTGGATAGTCAGCAGTTGAGAGAGAAAATGAATGATTAGGACCGACAAACAATGCCCGATCATCCAAGCATTCCACAGGCTCCCACTTAATTTGATCAAAATTCAACTTATAAACCTCAAATCTAGATGTCCCTATGTCATAACACCTCATAACTAACAGAAGATCCCCTGAGGATTCAACAAGATAGTAAAATCCAAATTTATCCGTAGGAGAGGAAGAAGGACTGATCGTTTCAAGTTCTTGACGAGAAGGATCGCTGAGATTCAAGACATCTATGCGGTCTGGGCCAGTCATGGCATAAAAGCGTTGATCCTTGCTGAAATACATGATTTCATAGTAGCCCAACGTCATTCCTTCGTTGATCCATGACTCTGGTAAAAGAGTCCCGCATGGGTGCCATCTATGGTCCCCGAGTTTACAGAAATATAAATCTTCACCATGAATAATCAAGACGGTGCAGTCCTCATCGCACTTTTGGGTAGATGAAGAGCGTGGGAGTGATGGGGCTGATGACATGGCAACCTTTTGTATGAAATGAATGCTCTCCTTTTGAACGGATCTATTAACGAAACTAGTATAATCTGAAGTAGCAGCATCTTCACCCCAGTTTCTTCTGTTGATTAACATGAAGTCTTTGACAAGGGAAGTTGAGGGGGAGAGGAGATCGGCTTTTTGGGCACGTAGACATTTTATATCATTTAAGGTTTCGTAGGGAGGGAGAGGGACATAGGGGAGATGTGAAGACTCTTGTAGTAGTGGATTGAAAAGGTATGGGCGGCAACTACGAGGGTGGACAAAAGTAAGCCAGCCATTAGAAGAGCCAACACAGATGGCATCATCAGGCGTAAGAATCTCCTTCTGCCACGGTATTGTAAATTTCTTCGTAACCCTGATTTTTGTTTGCTCCCCAGGACTGAAAAAGTTAAAATAATCATTGTAGTCCGTCGATCCATCAACATCAACATTAATAGGAGGTACAAACATCAATGGTGACGACCGGGATTGAGGAGAAAGGATAGGCAAAGAAGATCCCTTTTCATGAACTAAATCTGCTTGAGAAGAAGAAAAACAACGTTGCATAAAGTATGCAGCTTTCTGGAAGGTTGTGTGTGTCTGGAGTGAAGGAGTGAACCGTACCTTCTTCAGCATAGTTCGGTGGCAATATAGCATCCTATCAATCTTCCGGGAAAAAAAATATATAGCACCCTATCAGCAAAACGTGGGAAAGTAGTGATGATCAACTCTCTTCAAAACACCCAATATTGTGCCTCCATGAGTCTATGCTATGCTCCACTTTCTTCTTTCCACAATTTTTCTGTTTTGAGCATATGGGCCATATTAACCCAAGAGTTGAGGCCCGAGACAACTTACCTAGCCCCCGAGTAATGCCTAAATTGTGGATGACGAGTACAACTCCTTAATCCGATTTTAAATATTTATCTTATTATTATTATTATTATTAAATTTTACCTTAAATTTTTATCTTCTCAATTATGATGTTTTCCTGTAAAAGACGATTCTTTTATGGACAAGTATAAGATATGTTCAATAAAATCTTTCCATTAACATTGAATATATCTTTAAAAATTTGAGATAGTAAAACATTCAATTAGGGTTAATTTCATTGAGACCTCTTGAGATTAGGTTTGATTTTTAATTTGCACTAATATTTGAATTAGTGGCTTAACATTTCACTGACACTCCAAATATTAATTTTTGGTAAAATTATAATACTTGTGAGATATTAAATGATTATGTTACCCTTCGAACTCATGTTGACTATTTTTGTAACCAAACTAACCCCAACACACCTTTCCTCTTCTTTTTCCACTCAGACCATCATCATCCCAATTAACCCATCAATCTCACCATATACACACATACAAAACAACTACACACACACATATATATAGATATGTACACATACATACAAAACAACAATATATATAGATATACACACACGCGCGCGCAAAACAACTATATATATGTATATAGATATATATACACACATCCCATGGCTGCAGTCAATAGACCCACCTTCACCCCCACGACCACCACCGCTGCTGCCACACCGCCACCGCCACACCGTAACAGCCACACACCGCCGCCACACTGCAACAACCACGACCCCCAAATCGTAACCCCAAATCAAACCCACACAGCTTGACGGAGGGCCAGCCTCGTGCGGTAGTGTCCGCCACCGGCCCTCGCCTTCGCGGCGAATGTAATTGGCGAGGAGAACCGTCGTCGACGACGATGACCACCACCCACCGCTCTAAACTGCCGCGTTGGCTTCTCCCTCTTCTAAGCCTTCAAGAGATACCATGGTGACTGGTCTTCGAAATAGGGAATTACAAGAATATTAATAGCGGTAAAGAGGACGGCGACTCACGATAAAGAGGCGGCTGGTGCTAACGAGTAATGCAGTGCTCGGTGAGGATGATCCCACAGTGAGATCTGATTTCCGGCGTGAAGCGATTCTTGTCAAGACTGATGAAGTTCAACGGCCAGTGATGTTGACAATGACTTGTCGGCGGTTGTGATGTTGATGAAGAAAATGCTTAGGCGCTTATATACACCTATATTATATATATATATATATATATATATATATATCAGTATATGTATATAATGTATGAAATTGCAGTGACATGGGTACTGTTATAGCGTCGATGGAGGCGAAGACAGGAACGAAAAACAGACAAGAATTAATTTAGAATTTTTTTCTCTGATTGAATCAATTTAGAATTTTTTTTTCTCCTTATCTCTACACTGATTGTGCTGGTGGTTGAAGGGGATGGATGAGAGGGACCGTAGACAAAAGAGATGAAAGATGCGAATGAAAGGGTCAATTCGCATGTGTTTTGAGGCCAAAAAGCAAATTAGGGTGTCAGTTAAATTAAAAAACTTAATCTTCATTTAGGTGAAATATGACCTAATTTCAGGGAGTCTGAGTGAAATTAACCCTTTTAATTATGTCTTCTGAGGGCATAATGGTATTGGCAGGAATTCGAGAGATAAGTTCTTGATATCTCGCTTTCAAACCACACTCCAAACTTAAATGGTGCTTGTGTTGTGGCGTGTGGGGTCGATACACATTGTCTAAGAAAAAAAAAAGTTTTGATTCATAATTCAGTTGGGATTTCTAATGCTTCAATAACTAGTTGATTTTTTAGACTGAGTGATCTTTAGTGATCTTTTTGGCTTAGCAAAAAGTATAGCTTAATTGTGCTTAAGTAGAAAATGTGAAGGGTTCAGGTCTTTATAGAAGACAAACATAGACAGGCGCAGTTAAAAATCAGGAGGCAAATCACTTATATCCTTAAATAATGTTTTCAGTAAATTAAACAATTGATTCTATATATATATATATATATATATATATATATATATAATGAAGTAATTTGTAATTGCATTTCATTGTTGAGTAATTGCAATCTTTGCCAGGAACCAAAAAAGTAAAAAAAAAGAAAAGGAGGTTGAATTCAGTTGAGTTCTATGTCATGCTTCTCTTATTATTAATTTTTTTAATTTTTTTATTTTTTAGTTAAAGGTAAGCTTGTATATATATGAAGGAAGAGAGAATGTACATGTGAGCACAAAAGGTTCACAAATAAAAAACAAATACAACTGACACAACGCCACAAAAGCCCACAGATAACAGCTAACAAAATAATATTAACAAGCTAGAAACAACATTAGATTAAAAACAAAATTTCACAGCAAACAAAAGGCAGCTCCTTCCATACAATTACTGATGGACGACTGTGGTGATGTAGCAACATAAATCAAAGCAGCACTTCAACAAAGCAGCACAAGGACCTGTACAATACTCCTATACCATAGCAAAGCAGCACCCCTACACACCCTCCTCTACTGAACTAGCCATGTGTGACCTCCATAAAGATGGTAGGCCTTGTGATAGAGATACTGTAAGCCATTATAGGACAATACATGTCTTAGCTGTGAGCTGTTTGTAAGAGTGATAGAAGCTAATCTTTAACGAATGGAAGATTTGATCAGTAAGATAATGTGCTGGGGAGCAGAAGACTTGTTCCTGAAAGCTCTTGAGTTCCTTTCCATCCAAAGGAAGTAGATCACAGTAGATAAAAACAATTTATGTAGAAGAAACTTCTTTATAATCCAGTGTATGGAGCACCAAACAACTAGTTCAGTCCAAGAATTGGACTAGAAAGTGAAACCTGTGACCTCCTGAATAAATCGCCAAATGTGGGAGCTAAAGATACAATTAAAGAACAGATGGTCCAATGATTCAGAGTCAGCATTGCACATATAAAAGGCATTTATGTAGTGTTTTTTCAACATAAGTTTTGAGTCAAGTGTGTAGAATCTCTTCCTAAGTGCTAACCAAGTGATAAAACTATGCTTAAGAATGTGATGCTTGAACCAAATGAGGTGATGCCAAGGGAAGATAAATGAAGGGGGAGAGAAGTATGACATTGTGTGTGCAAATGAGTGATTCAGGGAGGGGCTAGGCAGCCATTCATGTAAGTCCTGTGAGTTAGAGGGAGGTTAAATACTATGTAATTGGGATAAGAAGTCATGGGATTGAAAGAACTGACGAAAGTGAATTGCAGGTGGAATAACCCATTGGAAATTGGAAATTAGGCTATCAACTGTGGCATAAGTGTCCAGTTGAAGAATTTCCATTTCCGAAGAGCCAACTGAGATACAACTGGGCCATTAGGAAGCTAGAAGTCAAGCCACATCATAGTATCAATGCTAGCCCCAACCCCTATGTCTAATGAGCCCTCTAGCTAGTCCCCTAAGCTTCAACAATCTTCTCCAGAATCCGGAACTCAGTGCAGTTGGTTTGATGGTCAAAATAATTTTTGACTTAATGAGGTAGCAAAAGGTCCAAGCAACCCACAAACTGTCCTTCATAGTGCATAGCTTCCAAATATGCGTAAGGTTACCAAGAATGTTTGACAATTCCAAGTCAGAAAACCCAGGCCCCCATTGATTTTAGGTCTATAAATAGCAGACCAAGCCACCTTTACCCCACTCTTCTTTAATTCCACTCCAGACCAATAAAAGCTCCTCAAAATTTGATTGATTTGTTTAAAGACCTTCTTTGGCAGTATAAAGGATTGAGACCAATAAGCTTGTGTGGAGCAAAGGATGGACTTGATTAATATAGCCCTACCTGCATAGAAGAGAAATCTGGAGGTCCAATTCCTAATTCTAGCAGTTATCTTTTCAACCAAGGATTGACAATCTCTGGATACAATGGAAGATGAAGACAGTGGAACACCAAGGTAAGTGATGGGCAGTGAACGAACTTCAATTTGTAGGAGCTGTAAAATGGCATTCTTAGTAGTAGAGTCAACCCTAGCAAAGAAAACTAAACTCTTTGTTTTATTAATCTCCAAGCCAGAACGTGATAAGAATTGATTAAGGGCATTAAGTAGGATCTGGATTGAGGCAATATTGGCATGTAAAAAAATCATGATATCATCTGCAAAGGTGAGGTGAGTGATGGCCATCTTGCTCCATCTCTAATGGTATTTGAAGCCAGGGTTAAGGCTAATGTGGTAGGTAAATGACTGTGAGAGCACCTCCATTGCCAAAACAAAAAACAAAAGAGAGATGGGGTCTCCTTGCCTAACTCCTCTCTTCCCCTTAAAGAATCCAAAGAGCTCTCTATTGAGGAAAATGGAGTAAGATGCAGTGGTGATACATTGAGAGATCTAGCCAATATATTGTTGTGGGAAGCCAAAGACAGTGAGGAGGTCAATAATAAACTGCCAATGGATAGTGTCAAAAGCTTTCTTAATAACAATTTTGAGAGAACAATTTGGAGGGTGTTTGGCCTTATGGTAACCATTCAACAACTCATGAGCAAGCACAACGTTATCAGTGATGTAATAAAAGCATTCTGAGGTGGGCTAAGGGAAGAATGGGGTTAAGCTTATTTGCTAACAACTTAGAGATGATTTTGTAAATCAAATTACAGCAAGGGATGGGCCTAAAGTCATTAACAGTGGAAGGGTTTTGTTTCCTAGGGACTAGGGCTATATAAGAACAATTTATTTCTTTGAGAAGTTTCCCTGAGATGAAGGAATCTTTGATGGCATAGATAACATCCTGCCCAATAATTGGCTAAGAATGGGAGAAGAAACATGAGT